AGCTCAGGATTTTTGTCTAGAAGGTGGCAACATTCATGTTTCAGATCAAAATGCCTTGGTTTAATTTGCATTTCTTAATTTATAGAGGAGCACTGCCTTTTCTACCAAGTCCCCATAAAGGACCAAATTCATTTTCCATAGAGGCCACGAGAAAGCAAAGAGTTTCTACTGTAAGAAAAGAGTCATAAATGAAGGAAGAAAAGTGCTCTGCATCATCTTGGTGGCTGGACAGATACAGCCAAAAGGACCTGCAGGACTGTGCATGACAAGATTTCCACGCTCCGGTGAGTAAGAGCAGAATTTCCATCAGGAAGCAGCTGCTCGCGACAAAATACGCAGCCGAAAAATATTTTCAAGATGGGGAAAATCTGTTCTTTCAACTCATATGTGGTCTGAACTAGAGGAGTAGGACAATGTTTTTATTTTGGCACATTGTACAATGGAACAAAGAAAAACATTAAGATCTTTTTTCCCTTCAAATTCTAAAGCAGTAAGTTTGGGATCTGAATTTTTGGGTGGTATGAGAGAAACCAGAGCAATTAGGCTAGGCTTTTAATATAGAGCTGCTCTCAAGAAGAAAAAAAGGGTGAGCAGTGGGCAAGGACACTGACTAAGCAGGTGAACACGCAGCTGAGGCCACTGGTCCACGAGCTCCCCCCTATGCTACATGGGGGTGGTTCCTGCAGTAGCCTCACCAGAGGATCCCTCAGCTCCCAAATGCTGCCAGCAAGTCCTTCGCTCAGGCAGAGCTCGCGTTTGTGTTCGGACAAGCTGCAGGTGACGACACGCAGCAGCTGAGGCTCAACCCCTGCCGCTTCTCCTCCGTCCTGCGGTTGCTGTTCGCGTGGAGATAATCCAGCAGCACCACTTGGCAACTGGAACACGGTCTTCCAACCTTATCTCTCCTTCATGTGCCTTTGTCCCGCCGCTCGTCCATCACTCATAGCATGTCAAGTGACACAGCTAATCTCTGTGCTTCCTAGAACAGTTTATCTCAAAGACACTCAACACAGTTTCTTAGGTATAAGGATCTCAGCGCACTGCTGAGAGCACATGCGTCCCGCTTAACCAACTGGGGACACCGGTAAACACCAGGATTCAGCTCTCATACACGAATTTCACAGAAAGGAAGAAACCATCCACTATAATGAAGATCAATGAGCTTCCTATTCTGTATCACGTTGCTATTTTGAAGGCCCTTTTCACCAAACTGCTACCAAGTTACTGATTTGGCTTTCCTTAGCCTCTTTTCCCTGCTATTCAGGCATGCAGGTATTTGAAGGAGCAGAGCTTTTTGTGCTGTCAATGTCTTATTGCAAAATAAAAAAGCTCCACGGGTCAAGTCCGTGCTGGCTCTGTTGAATCCAAGGGAAAGAAGAGCTCTCTGCAGGGGGGTATGGGAAGAGGGAGGCCACTGTGGGTTTTCAGAGCAAGAGCCAGGCAAGATTTCTTGTTCCCCTGCCCCTCTGCTAGCATCGGGCCAAAGCAGCAAAGACAACAAACAGCCATGGTATGCCCCAGAGCTCTGCAATCTGCTTTAATGGTTAAAAGTTAATGCCAGTACCACTGACTGAAGTGAAAACATTCAAGCTGACCTTTCTGAAAATGTCTCTGGTCAGTAACAGACCAGGCAACTAGTCCTGCCAGAGTCTTCGGCATTCCCCAGATGAGAAATATTTCAGCCCAAGTTGAAGTTTGCTCTTCATTTACTTTGTACGGGTGTTTTATTCGCTTCACAAGCTGTAGCTTCAGAAACTTCATCCACCTTGTTTATAATGAAGAACAAAACGTGAAGATCAGTCTACTTTAATGACTGCTCAGGAGAAGTAAATATTTCTTGTCCCAAAGGAGAAGAACACGACGCCAAGGCCTACATTTCTCAGCAGAGCTGCTTCCTACAATGCTAACAGGAGACTGTAAGCCTCGCTTATAGCAGCAGGGAAGTCTGCAGCCTCAAAAAGGCAACCTCGACCCCATGCATCCTGAGAACATCCCTAAGAGACTGTCCAGAACCTGACTGAGACTCCAGTGAGATCACCTAAGAGTTAAAGGATGCATCAGGCAAAGCAGAAGCATTTGGGTCATAAAGCTAGCAAATTCGAGCAAGAGAACTCAGAGGTGCGAGCAATGTGAGCATCTCCAAATTGATTATGCTACCTCCTTACCTGCTGTAAATCTGGACTGTTCACACCAGCTGAAAACACTACTTTGCCTGTATTTGTAAAGGGAAGGAAAAACGCCCACCTCCCTTTAAGTCAAAGTAGGCCTGCAGTACAAATATAACCGAAGGACAGATTAGCCAGATCCTTTCCCTTACCAGAAAACCTCAAAAAGTGCCTCCTAAGCCACATCTGCGGATGCCTCAATGGCTACCAGCAACTACACGTTGCAGGAAGCACCTCAGGATCAGGTCAGGAAACCCTGCTTACAAAAGGGAAGTTTTCATTCCCATGCTCAGCTTTCATGCCACCACCTGTCCCTTTGTCCCAGTTACACACAGAAACTGGTGTGCGTTTTGGGGGCACCCGCTTCTCCCTTCTCTTCACTTTTGGTTATTTGAAAATCAAACGTGAGGCAGCACGATGTTGTAAGGGTGTGAGTCAGGATTAGGAACAATGGGAAAAGCGCTAGGAAGGGCTGTGGTAACGCGAGTACTCAGACTTACTGCTGGGTTTCTTGGCTTTTATAAATAACGGGACTTGGGCTATGGTTTGTTCCCATGCAGATTATCAACGGGCCAGATAGTGACATCTCACGATTACACAGGTGGCCAATGTTTTAAAAACCAGCATACAACAGAAAAAAAAAGTTTAGGAAATTATTGCCAATGTGCACACAAGTCTTATTATTATTTAAATAGAGGAGCTGGTATGCTGCAGTGTAACACGTCTCTTTTTGGACATTATCCCAAACATCAACCAGATCTCTAAATAAATTTATGAGAAGAAACATGCTCTGGTGGCAGATCTCTAATCCCACTGGAGAAAGCCCAGATCATCTCCATTTAAGGTCAAGCAAGCAACAGCTGCACATTTTTGCTCCTCAGAACAAAATAAAGCAGACCAAAACCTCCGAGGCGGATGGACTCCTTTTTTTAAAGCTTTTCCTTTCCGATGCCCGTGGGCGCTGGGACCCGCAGGGCACAGCGATGCCAGCGCCCACCTCGCAGCCTGTGGAGAGAGGTGCCCCAGTACCAGCCCTGCAGACCAGCCAGGGGTGTGGGTTTTGCTGTCCTTGGACAAACGGCTGTCCAAGTCTTGCTCGATGTACAGTTCTGTATCTGAAATTGGCACGCACAGAAGGCATGCGTTGTGCTTCTGATGATGCTGTTTCTGTTGGTGCCCTACCTCGCCCGCCTAAGTATCCTTCTTTAACAAGGAGACCTGGCTGTGGCTGTGGGGGCTTGTCTGTCAACTGCTCGCCAGCACAACCCCCGTTCTTTTAGGGCATCTCATCTGAAAAAAAAAACAACTCCAGAATGATGACTCTGTCCAATTCACTAACACAAAAAGGTGAGAAACTGGGGAAGAGTAACTCAGGAGCATTGTCACTTCAGGATGACTTGATAAAAGGGAGGAACTGACATTACAGCTACCGCAGCGCTGGGTGTGAGACCTTAATAATGAACTACAGATGTGAATTCCAAGTGTAACACTTCTGGTACAGGTTTCATATTACATTTACAAAAAAGCAAACACGGACACGATAGCCATGCATTTGCCGGATGACAGCAAGTGATAAAAACATGAAACTTCCCTCGTAAAAAGGCCAAATACACTTGGCTTGACTGTCAGAGATTTACAACGTTAATAATGCCATTATAAGTAAATGGCATAAACCCTTGGCACTGCTAAGGAACAAGTATCTCGCTGCGGAGACACTCAATTAACTTTCAAATGAAACGAGCGACCCTGAATTTCCCGGGTCTGGTGCTGAAGGCTAATAGAAAGCAGTCAGATTTGTAACATTAAAAACGAGTTTCGAACTTCAATTGCATTATAGCCGATTTTGCAGAAGAGCTAAACCTTATTTAGAAAAATCAAAACAGAGCTCAGTTTGAAAGCAGGCGGGAGCACATCGCCTCCAAGGTCTTCGAGTACTTCTGTCCCTGCTTTGCAGCATGCATCACAGGCAATGAAAAAAAAACAAATGAACCAACTGAAAAAAACGACCTACCGTGTCTGGTGCCTTGTTCAAAGCCAAGCACTAATCTCTGCTAAGCAGCAACTGTCAAAACTGGGTCTAAGTGTTTAGAGTTAGGCTCAGCTTCTGTATTTTTGCCTGCCATTTCCAAATGAGGAAAACGCTCACGCTGCCGGGAGCATCCGCACGCCGAGCCTGACAGCCGGATGCTCGCAGGCTCAGCAGCCTCGTCCTGTCCTTTCCCATGCAGTAAATCCTCCACTTCCTGCATGCACGAAACCTGCTCCTCGTAGGCAGCCCCTGCAACCGGAGGACAAACCTCACAAGCACGGGATACGGGTGCTGGGGTCTCACCTGGCTTTTCCCTGCAGCAGGTAAGGTGCAAAGCAGCAGCATCCAGCTGCCACTGCTACCCAGAGGCAGGAGAGGTTCTCAAAAATCACTCACACAGTTTCCAGCCCCAAGAAGGGTGACTGGGGGTGAGGGTGTTTTATAGGGAAAGTAAAATACTTCACTTTATACAGGAACGATTAATTTGGGAAATGAACTGATACCTGCTGGATTTTATTTGGAATTAAAAAAAAAAAAAAGAAAGACCTAGGAATTAACTTGAAAGGGTGGAAGAGGTGTGAAATACAGCGAAATAGCCCTGGTTTTTAGTAGGGACAAACATCAGCACCGATGTAGCGAAAGCAGCACAGCCACAAGAGCCCTCCGAACAAACTCCTGTTGAAGCTCTCGCCCTGAAGAAGCGGGTGTGAATCTGGCTCACCCCTTCCCCGGAGGTGGGAAACCTCAGGGCTGCTCCCGCACGCAGGGAAGGCGCTGCCAAAGCCTTAACGCGCTGCTGCTGGGAGCGAGTGGAGAGCAGCAGCCTGCGGGTGCCAGAAACGGGACCAATCACAACTTCTGCGCTGCTGAATGACACCGGGAGCCCAGCCTCTGAAACTTTTGTTATTTCTTCCCCTCAGCCGGCTCCGATTGTTCCCACCACTTGGTCGCAGACTCGGACAAGTTGCCAGATCTGCAGGCGGCTCCCGCAGGCTGCTGCCCAGCTCCCAGAGGCAGAGGTAAGCCACCTCTTTTCTTTGATGCATTTTTTTTTGATACAGGAACTCAGGCATCCCAGCTCTGCGCCACAAAGGTAATGCTGCATTTCAGGGGCAACAAAAGCAGCTGAGCTTCTCCTACCTGCTGGTGGGACCCTAACCATCCTTGGGTAGATGCTTTACACAGGCAGCATCGCAGCAAAGCGAGCAGCTTCCACCATTCTCCTCTGACCTTTGTCCCTCCTTTTAACCTGCTCAGATTTTTGCTTTAAATACCAAACCCCCCAGGAGTAACTCACTCACAGTTCTGCAGACACGTGCGTCCCCCCAGCTGCCTGTTGCACTGCCCCAGGAAGGCTGAGCTCCTTCCCCACCTAACTCAAACAGCACTTTGCTGGTGGAGCACGTTGAGAGCACCCCTCTTTGTGCTGGATGCCAAAAAAGTACCCTTAACTAAGAAATTTAAGTGGTTTACAGCAGGACTGGCACTGTAATTGTACCGTGTTACTCAGATTTCCATTCTGGCTACTGAACTCGTACAGTACGATTGCTGTGAATTCCTTTACAGGTTTCTTTTCTCCTTCTGGTCACTGTAACTGCCCATTTTGTCCTAGAATGCCTCTAATAACAAAATAATCGCTAGGATTTGTAGCATCACGAGCTGAATTTTTAATGCAGAAAGTAATCCATCTAATCCCAACTACGGGAAGTGCGTAGACAGCATGCAACCAAATACCTCAGCTTTAAAATCAGTGCGAACAATAAGGGCACAGAAACACACCACACAAAGGATATTTTAATATTTTTTAATATTGAGATATACAATTATTTTTAAAAGGAATGCGATTCATGGCAATGCAGGTGTACACCCTAGGAGATTTCTCCTTAGAGCTGCTGCTCCCCCCTCCACCACATAGTTAAGGTTCTGCTTCTAGAAGACAGGCAGCGCATCCACCCGTGAGGCAGGGTTTCCCTGTTACTGACCACACAACCCTCAGTTCCTTCCCCCAAAACTGACCGGCAGGCACCAGGTAAGAGCAGAGACCCGGTGCTCAGCACCCCAGGACCCATCTCTAGCAGGCGGCTACGGGAAGCACCCGGGTGCTACCACACTTGGGAAGCTGCTCCCAGTAGGCTGGAGCAGCATTTCAGCCCCTCGGTGCCTCTGAGCCAAAGCCTACAAGCAGCAAGCAGATTCTGACAGATACAGACGGTTTTTTCAAGGCAAAAGTCACTTAAAATGCATTGTCAAGTGAAGAGTTTGGATTTATTCTATCAGAGTGCCTTCCCACTAGCACCCACGCCGCATTCACACACCTATAACACCACAGCTCATGCACACACACGCACAGAAATCTCTCTGCTTGCCTCAGCTCTTCCTGGCATACACCTGTAGCTACCAAGGGTTAGACTCCCAGCCACCTCCCCCTAAATCCTATCACTGAGTTGCACTGAAGTGGGCAACAGCATGGCTCAGCTGTTCAGTTAAAGCCAAAAATTTCATGCTGGTAGCATCCCATGGTGCAGACATCCAATGCTGAGTAACAACAGCCAGCAGTCGTGACATAAGCGTGCGCTACATAGCGGGTGACAATCGCGATGAATCAGATGTGAAATACTGCATTTAGCCCGCAGCAAACAATGCCCTCCTTTTGGCACATGGGGATGAAGACAACTGTATTATTAGTGCTTTGTGAGACCAGGTTGATATATGTACCACATTTCTATTTTTAACAAATCGCATTCAATTCTTATCCTTCAAAAAGGTTAGAGACGCAGTCTTTATTGTGTAACTCAAAAATCACTAAAATCAGTTCATAATCCAGGATTTTTAGTGAATTTTTCAGCAAACAAAAATGTATGGGATACACCTACACAGGAACAAGTGTACCTTTTTATCCGCTCTAAGAATAGATTGAACTAGCAATAGAAAAGCACTCCAGCTGGGAAACAAAAAGCCCCACAGGGAAGTTACATGATGATCCCTAAACTATCAGAAACTGGAAGATTGCTTTTGCCTTCTAGAGACCAAGCCCTCTTCAGGGGACTTTCCTGGCATGGATTACTTTCCAGAACTTGAATTTACCTACTAGTTTCTTCTTTCAATCAATGCCACGTCTTTGTCCCCTGAGCTGCTAAAAAGGGTAAAAACACAAAAATACAGCTTTCAGAATCCCCTTCCACCTGCTCCTTTGTACACGTTAGATGCATTTCAATTTTCACTTCAGTTCAAATTGCACCCACCACATTTCCTAGTAACAGTAATGTCAGAGGTACCACCAGAACCCTTGAAACTACACAGCTTTAAATACTCAACATGTGCAGTGGACGAAGAAGTTAATTTCCCCATAGAAAAGTTGCTATGCAATAGGTAAATCATACTAACAGCTTAGAAAACGTGTGTGGCATTATACATCCTATTTTTAATAGGGGAGCAGATGAATGCGGAGGACTGAGGCACTCGCCCAAGGTCCCACCGTGCTGCTCTGCAGCAGAGGCAGGGAATTTAACCCAGAGCTAAAAACGAGCCAAAAGCTTGAGCTTCCAGCCTACTTTAATGGACCAACACAGAGATAAAAGTCACAGCTAGCCCTGAGGTATGTGGATAACTCCCAAAAGCAAAATGCCAGGCTTGGTATGTTCGAGTGCTCATCAGTTTAAATACTTGATATCCACACCTTTTTTGTTCTCATGGACTTGAGCTACAGATAAAGACTCTTACTAACTGGTGATCTCACTTCGAGAATATGGAGAACGTCAAAACCAGTCCAATGAAAATTGGAAAAGGAATGGATTAGTAAGAAGGGGAAAAAACTGAATCTAAACTGTTGCTTTTAAAGTGAGAGCCTTCCCCTGTCCTCTCCTAAACACATGCAAAACACTGACACTTCAGTACAAAACAGACTTTAAAACAAAAAGGATGAGTTTGCTTTTCCTTTTACCAGCACTTCCCCAGATACACAAGCTGAATTGTTGCTACCCCATCCCAGAGCAGTTTTCCACATGTAGTTGAAAAAATGACAACATATCCCACAAGTCAGCCTCCAGCTCTCTTCAATGACTTAATGTATTCCAGCTGCAGTTTTCTACTTCCCCTCACACAATCCTTGCTCTTTTTCCACACTCCCACACTCTTCCTTTGCTCATTTTTCTACTTTCCTCCCTCGGCCTGTCATCTCCTGCACTATTTTCTGCATTTGGGCCCTCACCCATCCCCATCTCTGTTTTTGACCTCCAACCCCTTTTATGTTTTTTGTTTGTTTGTTTGTTTGTTTCCTTAACATAAAATAAATATATATATATATAAGTTTTCTGTTCTCCGCAGTCAGGCTGTTGAATTGGCTAACATTTCTTCCTCGGTACAATTGCCTAGTGCAACTCTCAGCCTAGGATCAGAATGGGAACCCAAATTCTGCACCCTTACTGTAGATAAATACAAACCCAGCAGCTGGGGTAAGACCCAGTAAGTCACCTCCAGCCAGTTTCATTCCTTTTACAAGCAGAAAAAAAAAATGTACCTTTGTAAATCACTTCTGTACTTGAAAACCTGTAAGCAACTTCTGTTTTATCGACGGAAGCTTTTATTCACTGAACTAAATTGAGAATAGAGAGCCAATTCAGACGGTCTCCTCCTTCACTCCCTTCCCTACCCTCATCTTCCTCACACAGACATGGACAATTTTCAGACTTGAGATGCTCCAACTGGAGTGATTCCACACAGCCAGCGAGGAGGCATTTTACGGCAGGGTTCAAAACAAAGCAGCACAACTTGAAATAAGATATATACGTTAAGGGAGGAAGCTAGCAAAGCTGATGAGCATGCCTACACATTAACTGCAGGCACTGGGCACAGGCAGAGCTTTAACCCTCTGCTACATCTCCTCCCCGGAGGGGTCCACGCAACCCACAGACAACTGGGACAAAAGGCTCCAGATTCAACCCAGCTCACAGCGTTTCTTCACTTATTAAGATTAAGCACCATGCATATAAATCTTTAAATGTACCTCCTCTGAACACGCAATAAACCTTCCTACCTAGGGGCATCACACTGCTCATACAAACACAAATTTCTTACACCAGGAAATTTTTGGTAACGGTTCTAAACATGTCCTAGACCAAGGATCGCATTTTTTCATTGCAAAAACCTATGAGATATGCTATTGCACAATCCTACTTTTAAACAATACCTTTTCAGGGCTTAATTTGGTCGTATGGGGCAGCAACAAATCAAATATGTCAAACCTCTCCTATTCCACTGATATCACTGCTGCTTTTAGTAAACATATGACAGGAAACAGGCTGTGTCTAAAATTGCTGTGGCATTTCCAAAGCAGCCAAATTTATCCCGTGTGACTTCAATGGAGTCGATGCAGTTGCACCAGGAATGAGCGTGGCCCCCAGTTTTCACTTTGGCCCCAGATCTCCTCTCGTGGTGAAGGACACCCAGAAACACGGTTAAAAATAGCCTAATACAAACCTGGGAAACAGCCACATGCCAGCCACGATGGAAGCAGTGACTGTGGTCGGTGACTCACCCTATGGCGCTGGGTGTAGGGGATCCCCTAACAGGGAAACGTGTGGGGTGAGCCTGGGGAGCTGTGCTGGGCATAAGGCAGGCCTTTCACATCCATCAACGCTGGATTAAACACAGCTGTAGAGCCAACAGCCTCCCTTCTGGCCTTGTCACACCTGAGCACAACACTGTTTGACATTAAAAAGTCAAATGTAACTTGCCCTTTTGCTGCACTTTCCTTTCAAGCAGTGGTTTGTACACGTGTAACACTTCTTAACGTTGACCTAAAACACAGTCAGGGGCCTAAAGAGGAGAACAGCTCCTACCTGTGGCGATGCTCACCCTTCACTTCTGTGTAATTGCTTTTCAGGCTGCCCATTTTGACCTTGCCAGCCACCCAGCGGCAGCTGTGTTACTGACCCTGCTTCTGTTCACACACACCTGAGGTGGGTGACAGCGTCATGGAGGACTAACAAGCCAGGTACGTGGTCATTACTTGAAACCCTGCACTTGTAAAGAAAAACTTGTTGAAACGGGCAGCATTTGCTTCCTTTGCTTACAGGAAAACTTCTCCCACAGATAGGCTTAGTAGGTAAGGCAACATGGAGGTGTTTTTAAAACTTCCAAACCTACACAAGCTGTTAAGAAAACCAAGTTGCTGTATTTTGACCTTCCCTGGTCCCTTCTCTACACATTTCTCTAGCCATAAAAGGTATATGCTTTAATATACACTACCCAGCCTGCCAGCTCAACTGAGCATGCCGACTACATGCTTCCCCAAAGGCAAGAGCACTTCTTGTCCCCCCCCAGCCCGGAGACATCCCCTGCCTCTCCTCACCACTGACACCTCACAAGCACGCAGGCTGTCCAACACGGCCCACAGAAATGGGCTTGGTGTGCGTATGCACAGCTCCGACCCAACCCTGCTCCACTCAAACTTAAATCAACAAAATCCCAAGCAAAATCCCTTAGTGGTGCCCCCTCTGAAAGACACTTTTTGTTTCATTTTATGGTTCTTCCATTTTAGGCACATCTAAAGACAAATCTACGGCCAACAGTGTCTCTGACTCAGTCAGGATGTCACATAATTCATGCAGCAGGACACCTAAGCAGTTGTTTTTCTTTATCTGACATACACAAACAGATAGGAAGACAGGCATCAGTATCATTTCTTGAAAGAGGGGTTGTGTATCATGATACACATGAGGGGCAAGCTCAGCTTTCAGAGCAAAGTTTGAGAGATGCATATACCATCGTCACCTTAGGAAGTAATTTCTGACATTGCCACCACAGCTGGGAAGCCCTTTGCTGAGCAGAGCAAGCACAGGGTCAGCCCCTCGCCACACAGGGCTCACAAAGGTGTTTTACACCCCAGCTGTGTGCTGGGAGTTTTAAGCCAGCAGATACCCCCATCCATCTGCCATCACAAGGGAGACAATTTCCTTGAAATAAAACACGCTCGCTTACAGGACAAAGTTATACACAGGCTTTATTTTGTCCCTCATGGCAGCCCTCTGCCTGTGTGCTTGAACTTTGTAACGCTTGGTGCCACGTGTGGAGAAAAACATTTCAGTCCTCATTCTGCTTTGTCTGACGAGAAATATACTAAAATTCCTTGCCTCAGTGATGCGTAGCTTTTGGTTACACACCGTAAAGTATTTTTACTTGGAATGGCAAGGCACTGACAAGATTTATTTCCCTCCCTTCCAAACTATGGGGCTGGGAAGCCAGATGGCCTGCACAGGCCGCGAGGCCTGGGCCTCCCGCCACGCCAGCGGGCTGTCAGGTGTGCCTCAACCAGTCCCAATGGGGGGAGAGGGGGGGAGGCCAGCCTTGGCCTTTTCACAGCCTGTGAGGGATGGGAAGGTTACCCAGGTGGTGGCTTTAGATCCCAAGTCCCACATTTCCACGGTTTCTGCTTTACAATCCATCACCCCTGCCAAAAAGCAGGTGCTCGGTAGCCTCCAGGAGGAGAAGCGCAGTACAGCACAAACCCAAACCTGCAAAACAGAATTGTCAAAATCCCAATTTAAAATAAAACCACTGTGAAGGCAACCTATTTATTTCGGGCTTCTGAGGGCTTTAAAACAATCTCCGTTTGCACTTATCAAAGCACTTTACTTCTGCGTTTCTAACTCTTCACTTTCCTGCTTTCCCAGCTCCACAAAGGCTGTCTAAAACAAAAAGAGAAGATAATAGGCACTTTGCACTGTTCCTGACAACTCTTCTTCTTTCCTGCACTCCTAAAACCTCTGATTTGTGCCCTCTGCTTTCTTGTTGCCATGGAGAAGGTCCAATACATAACCCGCTCTGCTCTGAGGAGAGCCTCAACTATTGAGGTCAACCCACAAGCACGCCAAAGGCTCCAGGAGCTCTTTGTGAATTTCTGCCTGATTTTAATTTGCCTCTTGCTGATCTGCATCATTGTGATGCTCCTCTGAAGCTCCAGCACTTCTCTGCACTGCCCGCTAGGAAAGCCACCCAAAGGGAAGAGACCTCCACCTCCAACCCCAATGCAAGGATCCTCTTGGGAGCGGGGCTAGCACTTGGACTAAAGCTGTATGCCAGCCGCAGCACTCTTCTCTTCCCACCTGCTACATGTATTAAACACACACTTCTGTGCAGAACGGTGTCTCGAGCCTGTGTTACACAGCTGTGCATGACCTAATTTACCTGTCTCGGGCCAGAGCTGTCTTTTGTGACTGGTGTAAAGCACTGCCTCTCCGGGGAGCTGGTAAGTTTCTCCAGGCTTTAGCCAGCTCTCGGTGGTTTAGCCAGTACACGCAAACAGCAACTGCATGTCTTCAGGGCTGGGTGTCTTTTAGTTTCTCTGAAAGCCCGTAAGCCACTGGGCCTATCCCAAATGCAGCCACAGCAGAGCTGCAGACACACAGATCCACAGCACAGACCGGGAGAGTTTCTGCTCTGCTTACTCCAAGACACTGCACCTCCGTGTTACCGACTGAAGGCGTTCAAATTGTTCTAGCATTTTTAGGAGAATGAGAGAAAGAGAAAAATACCTTCTAGCCCAGATTAAATTACTTCAAATGCTTTTCTCCCTATTTATGGGATCTTATATATATGTATATACACACACAATGTGGATCTGAAAAAAAGGCAACTCCATTCACAACATTTTTCACTGACGCACTTTCACTAGATAGAAACTTCCAGGTTTAAAAAACATCTGGAAGGATCTTTCACTATGTTTTTACAGGACAATTGACACTACCATACTGGTATCAACGATTTCATTTTCTGTAAGTGACATAACAATTGGCACAACTGAAAAATCAAAAATAGTTCTCCAACTTCTTAATACTTGGCTTCAGGAAAGTTTATTATGGCCTGATGCAATGTACACAGTAATTGCCTTAGTTTAAAACTACAAAAAACCTTGAGATTAGCCAATGTCATTCTAGGTGGCTTATATTTGATGCAGTAAAGCAAAAGGTTTAGGTTACCCTTACTACTGTGACTGGGGTATACCATAAAAAGCCAAGTAACATCACCATCCTCAACTGCAAACACCCCTTAGAGAAAAAACAAGCATTTTCCTACGATAAATGATACATACCATTATGCACCGGAAGGAAAGCATTGCAGAAAAATCTCTTCAGTATGTAAACCACAGTCTGAACACATAAAAGATGAAATTTCTGCTCCAGCAGTTATTGGTAATAAGCCTGAGCACACTTCCAATACTCCCACGTTGCTGGTGTTAAGCTAAATTTCTAGAAACTTTAGTTTTCAAATTTAAAGAAAGCTCAAGAACTGCAGAGGTCAGACAGACATCTATTTTCAACAGGAATCTTTCTATACTGCCCCATGCAAGCAATCTCATTGATAAATGCAAAAAAAAAATCAAGTTTATCTTAATCTCGTATTCTGCCTTTAAGACTTAACATTGCCTACATAGAGGTTGACAATGAACAGCTGAGCAGGAAGAAAAGAAATCTTTGAAAAAAAATCTGTATTGGATGTAATGAAAGCCCAGTGGTGATGCACAGCCCAACTAGCAAGTAGATGTGCTGAGAGCAGATCACTGGAACAAGGTTAATCACTAGAGTTAGTTAATTAGTTACTGTATGAGAATTAAGGCAAGCACTGATGAAATCAGCAACACAGGCACCCCATTTCGAGTTAGTCTATCAGTATTACTGACTACAGCTGTCAATAAAAATTTCACTTTCTGTTTCACGCCTTCTGACCGCTCCCACAAATGCATGAGATTTTGGTACGCGTACTTTCCCTATTTCTACTTCTTAAGAAAGTTCACAAATATTGTACTGCTTCAGAGGGGAAAATAATAATCATCATAATAAAGTTACTTTGTTCTCCTTTTAATACTATATTTTTGTGATGGGCAGGGTTTGTAGTTTTAGATTGCTTTGGAAGTGTTTCAAGAAACTTGTACTGGAAATAATCTAACAGTTTTATAGTACTGAAAACTCCCTGAAGAGGAAAGGTGCTAAGAGTAAAATACCAATGCATACATTTTAAGAATATTTTGGAATTAGAGGTTCCACAAGCCGGTCATATACAGAAGTCAAAGCAAAGCATTGCTAAGAATAAGGCAAGCACCACACTCCATAAAAAATAGAATACCCACGTCTCTCTTATGTACCTGAAAATCCATTATTTATTTAAAAATAATAAATAGCCAATAACAAAACCAGGATATGAATAGGCTGGAAGTCCTGCAGTTATTTTTCAGCACGTACCATGAGGTTCGTTTGTGTCTTGGGTTCTATTGATACGAAAAACTGCTACCACGCTCTGCATCACCAAACGTCAGCCAAACCCAGAGATAAACCCTTCTGTACATAGTATTCTTCTTTGTATGCTTGTAAGAGCTTTGCAACTAGCATCTACTGTATTTTTATTTATTAAAATGACTGTTTGAAAATATATTAATGCATAAAATAAGATATCCAAATACAATTCAGTTTATAAGTATCCATCCTATTATCTACTTATAAATTAAAATGATGTGAAAAAGAACTAGTTATCACAAAGCTTTCTGATTCTTTATACCTCTGTCTATTCTGCTTTAGTTTTCAACAGAAATCTTGTGTATTTTGCTATGTCTAAATCGCTTACACACACTTAATTTTCACTCACCGACTAGTACATATAGTACTAGTGAATTTTATGGAAGTTTAAGCAATAAGTTCAATACTTTTATAAGCCATAATAAAAATTCCAGATTCAGCAGGTGGCTTGGATTAAGTTTTCATTTCTCTGTTCTGCTCCACCCAATGTTATGTATTTTTGCTCCTTTGTCTTACACACTGATAGTGAATAAAGAAAGCTGAACAGGCGATGTTGTAACACTCTTCTCAAAAAATAAGAAATAAAAATAAAATCAAAAAATGGTTCAGTGATTTAAATGGCAAACATCTGTGGCAGCTTTATACTGGGAAAGGTTTGGATCAGGGACAAAAAAAATACATTGGACTTAAAGATGCACCTTCTCAGCCAGGTCTTCAGCAGATGTCGATAAATCCACCTGTTTTTCCGTTTTTCCATTTTTCCATTTCAGAGTTTCAAGTTTTGTTCTGGATAGCTGGTAAGGCATTTTAAAGGGCAGCAGGAAGCTGGTACTTTACCTACACTGCTGTGCCAAAATGTGAGCATAGAGTAACACAGACATTCATTTTGAGAGTATCCTCATTCGTATCTGGAAGCAAACTAGTGTACTGTAGATCATAGCCAGACACCCACCTTTGTATGGCTATTAATAGCATCTGTCAGAATACAATTCTAAAATATTTGTGATGTCCTACAAGATCCATAGGGATCTTTTAATTAACACCAAACGTGGTCCTTCTATGCTTGACCTAGATGTTAAAATCTGAAGAAATTCTGCGTTTTGCTTACAGAAGGAGATAAGCAAAAACCTCTTGCTTGCCGAGAGGATTAAAACCAGAATATGTTTCTAAGGACTCCTTTAAAAACTGACGCTCGCCTTAGTTGGAACCCTGGTAATTAAAGTCATTAAAACAGGTCCCAGATTTATTGGAATATCTGACAATCAGTTTAGAAAAAGATGATTGCTTTATCAGCCTAGGGCTTTTTGGTTTTGAAGATAAGAATGCCAAAAGTCCCATTGTTGTATAAAATCCAGAACTATAAAACACTGCCCTCTTGTGATCTCCCCTCAGAATCCAGCTGAATATTAAAAGGAAGCTCTGGCAACATTTCAGCGTTAGGGCTCACTGGTCCTATTTGTTTCCTCCATTTTTATATACACATTTCTGTACATAAACAGGAATTGCTAAGTTATTAATTTCATCTTAAATGAGCTATTTCGTACGTGCTAGTAGAAGCACCGAGGATGCACCATCCTGTGCCAGCTCAATCTAGATTCTTAATAAGGAATTTGTAAAGCTGCAAATAACCCTACGCAGCTCGCTGTTGCCAAAACAGTACCTACCATGCGGCACGATGCCAAAGCCTAGAAGTGTAGGAAATGCTCCTCTAAACAGAGGTACGTTTTTCCCAGAAGATAAAATTTCTGTATTTAGCACTTACAAAGATCTTGGATAAGTTGTTTTTCAACAATCTTTTGCTGGAGTCTTAAATAAACCCCGATTTCCAACAGAATGACTATTCCCAGTGGGTCCTGAAAAGTTCCATGCACATGGAAAAAGTAAATAAAGAACCAAAATGTATAAAATTCACGTCCTTTCCCCATTAATCAGTTTTTCAGAAGCACAGCAGTAAAATGGAAGCTGTCATTAACTTTAAATATTTATTATTTTTTAAGGTATTTGGAAAAACAAGAAGGCCTTTGGGAACACTCAGATTCCTTTTTGGAAGGGAAAAATCTGTTTTTTGTAAACAAACAATTTTTTCTTAAGTGGCGGAAACTAAGAACAGGTAAACAGCTGAGGACACAATGGAGTTCATGTGAATCTGCACTGCTTCGAACACAGCAAGCAGCCCAAAGCTGCCACCAAGGGTCTGTTCCAAGCACACGAGGGCGGACAGATGCACATGATGGATCTTGCTCACAACAGAGGTCTCAACTTACTTCTCAATTTCCTGCTCATTGTCCTGGTTCTGGTGCTCGCATTCATCCTTGTGAAGCTGATGTGAACCCCTGTGAGGGTCCTTTTTTTTTCCCTCCAAATCCTGGTCTGGGGGTTTGGTGTGGTGTTGTGGTTTTTTTTTTTTTGAAATGATAACATAAAGACATCAAACTATCCGACCATAAATATGCCAAGACTGAAATAACTGACAGAGAAAGTGTTCATGTACCTATTTCATCAGAAAGCGAACCTGAAGTTACACAAAATTACGTCCTGCCGTTGACTAAAGAAGGTATCTAGAGCCCTGCTGAGTAGAGGAAGAAATCTAAGTGTGCATAAGCAGCTACTTCAGTTTCCTCGTTCCTACAGCTGACCTGCATTTAAAGGTCTGCAAACAATCAGCAGCCTTCAAGGCACAAAATTTCCGCAAAGGGTAAAGCGGAAATCAGATTTTTAAAATGGGGTTTCCACAGAATGCATACTTCACCAAAAATACGACAGGAAGGCAGAACGAAACACCTACACGGGGTTGACAGCACGCATCAAATTTCCTGTGGAGAGCAAAAGCGGGGATGCTGTAGATGGAAGAATGGCCATCAACTGCAGCCTGCAGCAGCTGGGAGTTAGATAAGTTCAAATATGAAAGTATAATTATCAGGGACCTCTTTTTTGACACCCATGGTTCACAGCAACACCTTACAAGCCAGAAGCCATTTGTGTTACACAGCAGTATCGAAAGAAGCAGCTGCAAAAACAGAAGAGAAGGGATGTTAGCACAGGGTGCCACACCTGTGCTCGGGAAGCCTTGAACACCTCTGTGCAGGTGAGCACTCTGTGCACCCACACAGCAGTGAGCATGCTACGTCCCCAACAGGTCAGATTTACCTCTTGTGCACAGGGCAAGCGTGCAGTGCAGGAGCCCTCGGGCTGCGTTTGACACTCCACTTGTTACCTGCCAGAGCTACCCATTGCTCGTCCTACCCCCAAGCTGCAAGGTGAGCTCCTCACGGGACCTTCGCGGGATGCTCTGCTTCGCCCACAGTCCCTGGGAAGGGCAGTGACCAACGAGAGCTCGCTTCTACTGGCATAGTTTGCCCAGAAGGTAGCTCTACACACCTAAGACATGCAGGGAGAGAAGGTGGCCAGAAGTAGATAACAGACACTACACTGGGGCCAAGCAGCCTACCGTTAGCATCTCTTTCCCAAGCACGCATTGGGAACCAGGTGTACCACCAGACGTGTATTGTGCAGTCCATTTAACACCATACACGTGTGTTAGCAGTCAAAACACACATGGGACACCCATGGGATGGGGGAACAGCCAGTTTCCAGCTGCCTGCTGCCAGCAGAGCACCCCTGGTTTGGCAGCTACGCTGCTGACCCAGCACCTCCCGCAAACACTCACGGTGTGACGGAGCTGATCTACTCGTGGCCACGCTCGGGGTTTCCAGACAACTGCTGCTGAAGCTAAACCAACTGCAACCTGCAGCAGACCCGTCTGAGTTGGATCTGTGAAGAGACTTTCCAAAGGAAAAGACAATGTGCTGAGGGAAAGGCAAAGTTCACGCAGGTCCCACCACGAACAGGCCTCCATGCTGCTCTGCGTCCTCCAGCGCACGGGCACTGTGGCGTGGGGCAGCACGGACAGGCAAAATGAAGTTTTTTCTCTCGTGTGCTTTGAAGTATGTGCAATAAACATCTAAAATAGCTTCTGTAAGCTACGCATCTACAGCTTTTTTATGTCGATACAATAATATCAATTCCTGTTTGTATTTAGAGCAGAAAACTTTGCACAGCTCTATCACTGTAACCACTTTGTCATTTATTTTGGTTATCTTGAAATATTCTGCTTTTAAAAAAACAGCTGTAGAGTTATATACATGGAATATATGTTTTAACAGTTCTGTTGTTGCGTATTGTTTAGAAGGATTTCTACTGGTGCTTGACACTGATAAGAGATGGCACGAAACATAACCAATCCACAGGAATTGTTATGAAGCCCACTCTCATCTAAGGAAGAGTAGAAATGGTTTTCCCTGCAAAAAGGCAATTCACTGGTACACTCCTTGGGATCACACGCAGCTTATTTCATGGATGTTCTTCTGTACATACAAAATTCTCCTTATCTTAGGGAAACCGCTGTGACAACTGAACAGCTCAAATGAATTAAATGGGTTAGCATTGAAAAAAATAAATCATGAATTCCTTTCAAATAAAAGGACAGAGATGAGTCTACCAACTCCACCTACCACTTATTTCCAACTCAAAAATCACACACAAAGCCTGTAAGAATCTCTGCTATTAGCGTGTGGCTACCCCAAACTTCTCCCAGCCAACGATGAAAATTACAGAATCTTAAACAACTGTGGAAACATTTGCCTGAGATGACGCACAGAACTGGCAGAGTTACCAGCTAACCAACGCCAAGCCTCTTTTTGCAATCAGGCACGGTCCAAGCGTGGTTTACCATCATCTGCCAGCACTTAGCCTGAGCCCACACGTTCACTAGGAGTGGGAGCCCAGTTGTCAGACTACTGCCAACTTCACTGCAAAAGAAACAACACAAAAGCTCACAGTATTGAATTAATCCTGTTAACTATAGGTGATAATTTTTCACATTATAAAGCTTTATCTTGCTTATAAGTATGGTTTCATGGAAACATGACATGGGAAAAATGATGTTAATTTTTTTCCAGTCTTCAGACCTGTCAGGATCATAAGAACTACTTTCAAGTTCAGATTTAAGAATACAATTTTCTGTGGCAACAATGTTATTTGAAGCATGCTGTAACTTTTTCTTCCAATTAAAGTTTTAGGTAGTGTTTGCCAATCTTTAGGTATGCACGTGGTTTACTTGTTTCGAAATGACCATTGCAACTGTTGCAGCATCTCTTAATTTCTCACTGCATTAACATTTAATTCGCAGTAGCTGTTTTATATATATATATATATATATATATATATATGTGGTATAAACAAGGCAGTGTTTTCCTCATTAAAGAAGAAACAGGAAACCAGATGCATTAAAGGAAAAAGATGCTCTTAAGCCATTTCCATCTATTCTCTCTGCTACATTCTGACACAAGTTAGCTCACCACGAGGAAACCATCCAGATGCCCCATGAACTGGAACAAAACCAGGTTCATCCTATCAGGCCCACAACACGACCAGAGTCAATAAACAGACAGAAAGCTTCTGAAACCTTCTGAAGCCTTTCTTACTGTATCATCTCCCACAGGAGACGGGCTTTAAGAAATGCATTTCTATGCACACATATGGCCTTCATG